ATGTATAAGCGCGAATGTCTCTCTCTGTGGGTCTGTTCTTATTCACGGCCTAATGTTTAAAGCTACAAACTCCAAACTCGGTGTACAGATACAACTTTGTGCGGGAACTAACATGGGATTATGAGGCAAAAATGACCAATATAGCAATTTTCGGCAAACAGGACGGTAATTGGTCTCAAATTATACATGAAAATAATCTCTTCTTCTTCTGACAGCAAGACAAAAAAATATATTGAGTACAAAGAAGAGTTACAGTAGATAAATTAGCATGTATATAAAGAACTAAATCAGTTAAATCCATTTTCTTCCGAGCAACGCACTCTGCTGGTAATGAGATAATTATAAAATTGTACAACTTATCTGAAGAATACAAACCCCTAATAGCTGTTCAAAACTTCTAAAGACCTTTACCTTGCTGAGAAAGATGCTCTATTCATTTTACTTTATCTCTGATTTATTTTCCTTTCTAATTTTTATTTGTATTTTGATCATTTCTGATTCATAGGATTGGTAGAAATCTTGGTTCTATTCCGTGATAAGAAATGATAATGCAACAAATATATTAACTAAGACCTAGCTAGCGAACGTCTTTGTGTTAGAATTTCGCCCAGAGCTACACAAGGGCTACCTGCGTATAGCCAGCCTTAATTTTAAACTGATAGATTAGAGAGAAAATAGCACCCATCACTAGCTCTTAGGATAAACTTTTCGGATCGTGTAATATGATTTGACCGTCATGCTTATAGGGCACCTACGACCTCAAAGTGCGGTAACGATTCGCGAATCACAGATCTTCGGATTTACAGTCGGTTCACCTTCACTAGTAGAGTATGCTCGGACCAGAGCAATAGAGTAATAATAACAAGTTACACTAGGGTGTACCACTAATATGGATTAGTAATAAAAGTTATAAATATACCATATTGTGACTGTTACGATTACAGTTACGATTAGCTTTAGGAAATATACTGAAATGTTATGATAGAACTAAAGAAAATTAATCATAGTATATATTTAACTTGAAAGCCTCGAACTTTTAGTACCTACTCCTTATTATAGGTAGGAAATATACTGAAATGTTATGATAGAACTGAAGAAAATGAATCATAGTATATATTTAACTTGAAAGCCTCGAACTTTTAGTACCTACTCCTTATTATAGGCTGCAGAGTAGCTAAACTATGTCATTTTCTATTCGTCTTTACAGGCTAGGTCGTCTATCAGAGGAAATATGCCGAGCCTGCAGACTTGTTGTTGATACCGGAATACATGCTTTTGGGTATGTAGAGTTATTATCAATTAACCGTGATGTGTGTTTTATTCAAATTTTGCAAAGAAGCCCACGGATTGACCAATATGTTATCTATAATATTAGGTTTTGGATATATTATTTTAATGTTTATATTCTGTTTTATTCGTTTCTACAAATGCTGAAGGTTTTTGATTCTAGTTTTATGATTTCGCAATGTTTTTTCCTTGCACTTACAACTTCTTTTTTATGCACACATCATAATTATATTTGTCTGTTTTGCTGTTTCAACGCAATTACACAAAATTTAACACAAATATTTCAAAGACAACAGGCTAAACGGTCAAATATACATAAGATTTAGGCACAGCTATCTTTGATTTAAAACTGCTGTAAAGACACAGATCAAACAGTCAGTAACACCCATCTTTGCTCATACTCTTAACCGTATTAGCGAGGGTGAATAACACAATTATAAAGCCTCTCACAGCATAAAGTGCAAAAGAGTTTGAATTTTTGACCTTCCTTCCCGCAGCCCTGCACATAACCCTAGGCTACGCCCGGCTTAAAAACGTTTCATTACATATTTTTAGAGAATTTATAATTACAACACTTAGAAACGTACCTACATAAACTGCTAACCCTTGCAATAGTTTACAGTTGTATATATAAGAAACAGGTACATCAATGATAGTAATAACACCTGTAATAACTTTGACAGTGCTACACAGTATAATATCTCAAAGATGCTTGGTTTTCTTAAATATCACTATCATTGCTTTTGAAAATGAAAGCACTTTTCATATCTAACAAATTACTTTGCTAGTTCATAAGATACTTAATGAAATCTGCATACTTTTAATTATTTTGTTATTATTTTGAACATGTTCAGTTTGATTTTCAACGCCTGTTTTCAACGTAAGTGTTCATATTTAGCAAGAAGAATGTAAATAGTAGAAAATTAATGAAATTACAACGTTATTGATGGTGAACTGTATTTCTTAAATAGAAAAATAACGTATCTTTCATTGAAAATGTACATATTTGTTTTACAGATGGAGTCGTGAAAAGGGCGTTAACTACTTGCTGGAACACACGTCATATAATATAAAAAACATTGAAAACGAAATTGATCGTTACATAACGTGGCCTGGTGAGGTAAACTGTGCATGAATTTCTTTTAATTTTGTTTGTCAAAAGCAAGTCATATTTTAATGTCATGACTATAACTTTCTAAAGTTTAAAAATACGCAACAAATATTTTTCATATTTTTGAGCATTTATTTGAATTTTTAATGTAGCCTCCCCATCCTTAAACCATAATTTGCTCAAATGAAAATAAATAATAGTGTCCGTAGTGGTTATTTGTTTAATTTGACTTTTGTTTATTAGTGACATCAGCTTCTTTCCCTTCTAAACCAACGAATTATTAATAATATTTATAACTTTTTCAGATTTCGTTTTTAAGTTGAAGACGGTAGTATTTTAAAAGCATTATACTTAGTAAAAGCTTGTTTTGCTTATTTTGGTAGAACTTCAATACAAAAGTAAAAAAAGATAGAACTTGTGGAGAAAAGGGGCCAACAGGACTGCCTATGAGATCACTGTGGTCTAACTCCGACACTGTTCTTAAAAAATTTATGGAGAAAATGACTTAAATATATCAATGGAAATATAAAACAAAGTATACAGTAAAGAACAGATTAATACTTTTATTTTAGCTATAAAAACGTGCTCAATATGTCGCAGTAATAAATATATATCTCACCTGCTTCAGTGAACATCACAGTAAAATAATAAGAGATACAATGTTTTGGGTTGTTAATTTGTATAATGTGTTTTTTTTTACATTCACAGTTTGCGTTGTCAGTTAGATGGATGATGTAGAAGGTTTCTGTTATATTTATTTTACTGTGGTGGTTCATACCCCATTATATTAGTATTATTGTGACGCGTTTGTTCGTTGGCGGTTTCTTTTAAATTATCTGGTGAAAATAATTCAACGTTTAGTCCACGTAATGATCATAGATTTGTTCAACGTTTAGTCCACGTAATGATCATAGATTTGTTCAACGTTTAGTCCACGTAATGATCATAGATTTGTTCAACGTTTAGTCCACGTAATG